GTGTGAAAAGCTTTGTTACTTTTACTTCTCCAGGAAATAGATTTCTTCTGTCTTTTCTCAGTGTATCTATGGAACAACTGGGAGAACAAAATGCCACTGCTCCCACCTTCCGAGAACCTATCTAATTCTCCTTCACCTCTCTGAAGAGGAGATGCTTCTCACCTCATAGCTCACCTGCAGCTCTAAAATTTCTGAGACTCCCAGTACCCAGAAGGCAGGGCTGTGACTCAGAAAATCCCAGTTCGCATCTCAATTCTGACACTGCTGTTTGGTCTCAAACAAATTTAAATTCTCTAGTTCTTAGTTTTCTTATTGTGTAAAAGAAAATAAACATTCTACACTGTGCGTGACACCTGATACACATAAATAATAAATGATAAGATTGATATTATAATACCATTAGGATAAGGAATTATCTTCTGCTAAAAATAATAGCAGGCAGGAAATATGTGAAGTTTGTAGAAAGAGATGTGTCTATACCAGGCTCCTGTAAATCAGGAACTTCCTAAAGTTTCTAGAATACTGCTATTTTTTATATCTACAGATCTATAGGGGGACAAAAGTGTTCTAGGACAAACTTGAAGTTTGGGATTCACAGTGAGGAAAAGGAATTCACTAGAGAAAAGGTTGGGGACTATGTCAAGAAAGCTGGGTTCTTCTGACACTACATGAATTCTGTGGCACCAGAGGATTTGCTGAACCTCGTGAAACCTTAGTTGTTTATAAGTTGTTTATACAAATGGCTTGGGACTGCCTGCCTTAAAGGCAGCTTGAAATCCAGCTACCTTAAAAGAGCTGTTGTTTGGGGTAAATGGAATAATGTATGTGGTCATGTTCCGTGATCTGAATCCAAGGTAACAATGTTTTCAAGTGCAGTGTTTATGTTTCATGTGTGTATTTGGTATGCTATACTCTATTACATCAATAAAATGTACTCTATACGTCAATAAAATACATGATTCGATCAGTAGATACTGCTAAAGAAATCCGGTTTATCAAAGTCTAGATTGACCCAAACTGTCTCATTTCCAGGACAATTCTAAGTCTCTTAAGAGCACTCACCAAAAATGCCCTTAAAACTGCAGACTTCCTTGTACAATATTATTTGCTTCAGACAGGTTTGATTCACACATCACTTTTACAGAACAAAATGCAGAAACTAAGATACATTCATAGTACGCAAAAAACACACAGCCATGTATTTATGTTACTGTGCATTCACATACCTCCAACACAAAAAGCATTAAGCAAATCTCCCCTTATACCCATTTCAAACCTCCACTCTGTCCATCTGTGCAGAAGGGAAGAAACTTGAAGTATAATCTCTGGTGAACTGATGCACAAAGAGGAAGCTTTGGTATTCAACTTTGCTATGAAATGCAGCCTTCTCTAAGTGGGGCTGAACATTGCATGTTGAAGATATCAGACTAACGTGAAACTTAAAAATGAATCAACTGAGTCAGGCCTACTTATCACCAGGAAAACCGTCATGACTCGGGGCTTGTGTGTTTCGCAGGCCTGGCTTCCTCTGCTCCTGGCCTGGTGCAGGCAGTCGACAGGCCTTTTAATCACCACCTTCATTTTTCAGGCAAAAGCATTCTGGACAAGCCCTGGTTGTTGCTGTCCTCCCCGTGCCCTGGACTAACACAGACCTGGCCGTAGAGACATAGGCTTGTCCTACGTCCAGTGTCCTGCAATTCCCTACAATACTCTTTTATGAAGCACCCATTGTGCCAGGTACTAGGAGAAAACGCAGACATACAGAACAAGGAGCCTGACCCTCACAAGAGCAAGACAACCCAGGTTTCTAAAAGAGTGTGGAAGACATTTCAACGTGACTAAGATTTGTTTAAGAAGTCACTGGTTTGACATATAGTCCCCTAAACAGAATCTAGAGGAAAGGAAAGAAATGGATTCACTCATAATGGCAAGGGGTCTGGATGGAAGGGAGGTGTGGTGTGGCAACACTTCGGTCCATGCACATTCGCCAGGTAAAGCCACGGCCAGCGCAGGACACCTGGTGAGGTACCATCCACGTTTCAGTGGCTCCTCTCCGCTCACAAAGGCACATTTCATAGCCTCCCTCAGGACTGTTGCAGAATGCTAACCTGCTAAGCTAGGGATGTTCGCTTTTGAGCACACGGGGTTAGAAAAGAAATGAAAAGCTTTATAGAACCAAAGGCATTGGAAGAAAAGGGCTGCGGAAGGAGAGGCTTATACTTTTGTTGCTTTCATTTCCTTTGACTGTGATTCATCTAATCTTCCTTCATTTGCACAGGTAGACTGAGATAATGACTTTCATGTACCTAGCTGAGCTTATAATCATTTTCCCATGTATTATTCCATCTAGTCTCTTCTGAATTCAAATTATACTCTCTAAATCTCACTTCAAATCCTGGTTTCCAAAACATCTGCTCTTCACCAGTTAGGACTTAACAGACATAAACATTCATCTTGTATAAATAACAGGCTTCTGTAATATTAAGGCCACGAGTCCAACCCAGTGAATAACTGCTCAAACTTACCCTCACCTTGTGCCCTGGGCCAGCAATTAATTGAGCACAACAGATCGGCCAACTGACCGCCGGCCCATGAGAACCCCGACCTCCTCTCAGCTCAGTCCCTTCTCCCTGTTGCTCGGTCCTAGGTTGTATTTATCCTTGACCTTTAAACTCTAGTTTTAGAGCACAATGAGTTGAGTCCCTCAGCAGAGTCCTGCTTGCCTTCCCGGCCCAGCCTTCACACAGTACTCACTCCCAGGATGCCCTGGCCACGGACCACCAGTTGGGCAGCCCCAGGACCCTTCCTACCGGGGCACCACCCTCGAGAGCAGCCTCGCTGGAAGGTCCAACTCCTCGACCTCACACTCTCTTCTGAGCTCAGGTCCCAAAGGGCTGGACGGAACCATTCGTGCCAGCACAGCAAGAACACAGACCCAAACACCCTGACAGCACATATTGCCATCCCTACCCTGTCGGACCCCGAACAGCCCGAATCAACTTCTGAAACCCCATAGCAGGTCAGTAAACCAGCAAGAAGTCTCAGACTGCACGACTGTGGGGGTTTGTCCCACCGAGGACTGGAGATATGGGAGGAACAGGAAAGTTTCATGGACTCAGTTTTCTTTTAAAATATGGTGCAAAACATGGAAGGCACCATACTGAGAAGCATTAGAGATTTTCTCTAAAGTAAAAAGACTCCTTTACGCCCTTTCATGACTCAAATCCTGGATGTCCCCACTGCTTCCTCTGAAGGGGTATCGTGACCTCACCTTGCTCCTTCTCTTTGGATCACGGTGACTCGCTTTACTGCTCCCTGGTGGGACGTGCACAGCATCTCACCTTCTCTTCCTACCATCCTCGTCACAACAGAAGAGAACCTTCTGGTGTTTTCAAATGACCATGATAAAAATGCATAAAAAGTGGATTTGGAGCTAAAACTGAGTAATGGAGCACCCCTGGGTAATTTAGCCAGTCCACACACACTTACACACTTCTCAGAGGGCCAGGGCACCTGCCCCTGTAACTGAAAATTCCCATCAGCCTGCTTCCTAGGTTTCAGCTGAGTGGCTCTTTGCCAAGCCCAGGTTGCTCATTCTACCTCTCTAACGTATTACAGGATAGGAATTTCAAACAAAGAATCAAGCTAAGAAGTAAAGTGAGTGATTATCTGGCTCTGCCTGGTTCCTGGGCTTTCCACTATTCCTGTGATATGGCCCCTCAAAATCTAGTTACCTGTGTCCTCTAAGGTAGCTGCACCTTGTCCCATCCCTACCAGCTATTACCTTAGGCAGAGGGATTCAACCCCCTGGATGCACAACCCACAACCCCTACCTGTAGGCAACTTTATCTGTGCCTTGAGCCTGTTAGATAGGCTTCAGCTCGATTTGTGAATCTCCATGACTTCATGTGGAGTGTCGAATGGCTGACCTGTTCTCATGGACGGCAACCTCGCCTAATGAGCCGCCTGCACCATCAGCCCTTGATGGAGGGGGTCTGGAACTGCCCCAGGGCCCCCTTTCCTCCTGACACACAGCCCTGGTTGCTGCTTGCCTACAGGAACCTCTAAGCATCACCTGTTTCCGCTGGTTATGAGGACACCCATTTATCTCACAGTAGAGGCCCCACACCAGTGCTTCCTGACCACTCTCTGGTGTCCACCTCCAGGCCCAAGAGCCTGTCCCCAGGTCAGATGTCAGTCCTTCCTTTCCCATCTCTCTGCAAGGGACAAATCCCCCTTTCCATACTGGGTCCACCCTGTTGAAACTGAGCAGACGTAGGTGGTCAGATTCCAAGGCAGGACAAAAATCCTAGTTTAAAATCTTAAGGGGAAAAAACCCATACACTCCACAAGGCTATTCTGAATCACAAAATAGTGCAACTTTGGAGCTGAAAGGGACCTTAGAAATCACGTTGCACAGTGGTTACTGGAGTTTAAGATTTCCCAAACTGATCAAATTTCCAAAGACCAGTAAGGGGAGGAGGAACTGATAGAGGGCTCTGTATCTGCTGCTCTCGTCGGTCATAGAGAAAGGCCATTTTAATACCAACAAAATAGGGAAGGTATCATTTCATAATTTTAAATGCATAGATTTAAACTTAATGAAAAACTCATTCTCTTCCCTCACTCCACAACTTAGCCACAGATGAGGGAATCCCTACCATGGGCATCCGAGCAGCACCTGGGAACTACTGGGCGAGACCCACCCTGTGGCTTTACAGATAGAAAATGATTCCCCCAAGACTGCCAGGAAGGGTGGGACTGACTGAGCCGCGTAGCTCCCCAGCTCGGGCTTCTTCCTACTGGATTTGCTAAAGTAAATGTGTATTGATAGCAGATGTTTTCTGTGCTGGTTTTATTATTTGGCAAAACTTTGATTCACGCTCAAATAACCATCATTCTCCTCCTGCAACTCTGAAGAAGTCTATGCCCAGATGATCCCTCCAAAGGGGTCCCCAACATCAGATCACAGAGGTGGTGTTACTAGAGATCACACTTACCGTTTCGCATCCTGAGAAATAAATAGTGCAGTACTGTTTCAATAGCGACCCGTGTAAGATTGAACATTCCATTGCAAATGGACAGACAGCATTTGGAAATATTTCTCAAAATTAAAAAGGAATGAGAATAATTTATTTTCCATTTTTCCATGCCTGACGTGACCATAAGCTTTAGGGACTATGAGACACAAATGGCATCTTCCTGAGAATAAGGCGGTGCTTAATGTTTTTTTCTTCCCTCCAATACATGTTCCTTAACTTCCCTTTCCATGGTCTCAATTATTCTTGATCAGTTCCATCCACAATATTGTTTCTGCCTTCACTTATTCCTGACTATTCCTTTCCCCTCTCCACTCATTAAAGTAGCTTAGAAATTGGCTGTTTGGCACTGAAGTGAATAAATCACCTTTAATCTGACATATCAATGGATATCTGATCACATTCTATGACTTTATTTGAGAGTTGTCAACAACTATTTGTTTCATCAATTCTAAGAAATTTTAGTTCTTTGAAGCATTCTAATGTGGTTTTTATAAAATGCAAAGAGTAGCCATAATATTATATGCTTCTCTTGAGATGACAATAAGAGATCAAAATTTCTATAAAAGAATGATTTAAGCCCCAAACTCTCCTGCCCATTCAAAAAGGATATGCACAAAATTGACATTTATCACCCGAAGAAAAGATTACTCCAATTTTTTTTTGGTGGTAAAACACTGACCCTAAAGCCATCTGATAAATAAAGAGCCTATTTCTGTCTCTTTTGTCCATAGATTTCAAAGTGCAAGTGAGAAGAAGGTGGTATTTTGGGTCTTTTCTAAATTAGGAGCGGAGGGAGAACCACAGCCAGAAAATAAGTAGCTTGTTCATTGTTGGGCATAAAGGCAGAAGATAAACAAGCACTGTTGGTCTGACTTACTCTGGGCTTTTCTTACAGGATGGCCAGTTCAGCCCTTGGGATTGATGGGGCTTACCCAGGCCTCAGAGTAGGTGGACATGACTTTTAGGGTGTTCATGAGTCCGTAATAACTTAAACATTTAATGAGTAGCAAGTTCAACTTCCTCAAAGAATTACCAATTAAGCCTTTTACTTCATTTTCCTACTGGTTGCTAAAGTTTTTGATGCGACACAGAATTTCTGGATCAAGAGGACAATGTGTCTTTTTAGGAATGCCACAGAGTACGCTGTGTACAGCTTCCCTCAAAGTATCTGGGTACTAATGCTGCAGAAAATGGCCCTTTCTCATCAAGGTCACTAATGGAAGGAGAGTCATGCGGAGAAGATTCCTGCGTGTATAAAAGGCTTGGGACATGTTCTTCGCCGTCATCAAAGCCAACAGGCACCATCTAGTGCTCTGACACCTTCCACGGGGTGCCTGCGGCATCTGCAAATTCTCTGGCCCCGAAGATTTCAGCAGCTCTAATGACTTCATCAGAGCCAGGTTATAAATACTGGCTGTTTTCTGTGAAAACAGGAACTTCCTCCAGAAAAGACTTTCACCCAGCAGTGACCAGGCTCCCTGTCGTGGTGGGAAGTGGTAGAGAGCCCAACTGCTGAGGTGTCTGAACTCTCTAAAGCGAACAGCACAGAAGTTTCCCCACATCGGCTTTCATTTCTGACTCCGCCCTGGACCACCTCAGTTGGTCCATTCTAGAAAACAGTGGAATCCAGGGCCGCGAGGAAAGCAGCTCCCTGTGGTGTTAGTTACGATGATGACCGTGAAGAAAGACTGGGATTCATTAGAGGTATAATGTCTCACTCAAAAACCCCTAGACTTCTTCCCTAGCCTCCCCAGATTGGAGTTAAATGATCTGGTTTCTGCTCAGAGTTGTGGCCCTGGCCTAGTGATCTGACCTTTCACCGGCCCCCAAGACCATCCTTAAGGGGCAGGAGAGCACCTCCACCTCCCCGTCACATGGCCTTGGCATCCGTGGGGACAAAGCTCTAGAGGGGAAAGAGGCCTGGCTTGGCACAGTGATGAAATGCATAAGAATCGAGGAGGTGCTGGCAGCAAAGAGAAACCCTTGAAGACAATGCCTTAGCATCAACACTGCAATGGACAGACGCAGAAACTGCGAGAGAAAAGGGTGGTCATCTTTTTAATGAAAACCAGTTTACTCGAACTGATTTTGGATGACTCTGCACCAAGTTTGCCAAATGCAGCAAAATCTAAATTGGTCCTGAGGCAGGCACCCTCTCTTGGCAATACTGATGTTTTGTTCATATTCAGAACTTTTATTTTAATACAAATCAGCTTATTCTTAGTGGACAAAGGGCAGGGGTATTACTTTGTCTATTTTAGAGAAAAGAAATGGAGTCACAGGAAGTTCTACTTAGGATATGGCAGCACAGGAAGAGCCAGAGCTGGGAAGATATCCTGACGGTACCACCTGCCTACCCGCGTGAAAGGAACCCCTCCCTTTAAATAAGATGCCCACAAATGGTTGATGACAATATGAGGGCTTCCATTATGTTTACCTAAAGATCTCTCCCAGAAGAATGAAATTTAACCTCTTGTTTAAAACCCCAGCCCTTAATTTCCTCACAAATTGTTCTCTTTTAACTGGATTAGAAAAGTTTGCTACACATGCAGGTCTTTGTTGCCCAGAACCCTTGACTCCTGAGGACTTAATCTCCGGGCGGCTGGGAATATCAGGTCCTGATCACCAAATGGAGTTGAGCTGAAAGTACTTTCCTATGTTCAGAGTTGCTCCTTCTTTTTCAATTGAGAAAGATACTAAGGCGTTACTAGGGAAGAAGCCACACAGTCTGGAAGGTGAGGTCTGCATGCCAGCTCCGCCCAGCCGGGTTACCGCGGCAAGTCCATCCACTTCTCAGAGCCCAGGGCTTGCTTGTGGAAAATAGGGATGATGCTATCAGTCACCCCAGGGAGGCGATATTAACAAAAATAATAAATTTACTGATCATGTAAATATCTATTGAATATGTACAATGCAAAATAGTTCCTAGGTTTTTCAAACGACTGTCTCATTTAGTGCTCACAATAGCTCCCTGAGTCGGGTGCTATTACTTTCCTTTTATATAGATGAGGGAAGTGAGGCTGAGAGATGCAATCCTCAAGTGTAAATCAGAATTTAATAAGCACAGGCCCTGTGTGAACCACCACATAAGCAGTGTGAATTAATTGATAAAGAAATATACTTAGCATAGCTGACAGACATACAACAGAGGTTCAATAAAGGTTTTGATACAATTAACGTTAGTATCGGCAGTTAATAAACTCTTTGAGGGCAGAAACTGAGGTTCACTTATTTTTGCAGCCTCAGATTCTAGTACAGCCAGCCTGGCAAAGGTGCTCTGTGAATGTCTGTTGGGTAAAGAATGCATATAATTCTACCTGCAATCACCAGTTCCATAGAGAAAATCTGACTGAAGCCGCTTTCAACATATGTCAGCAAAAACGTATCTAGAACAGACACTGATGTCCCCCTTGGCCCTTCATAGCCTCCATTATTGGCAAGGCCTCCTACACCTGTTACCCTAATGCAATATAAAGAATTTGTGTTGTATCGGTGTCCTTATCAAAAGTATTCATCAATACATAATCGCCTTCTCAAACTGTGACGTAGACATATAAAGAAAATTAAGGGCCGCCCTCTCCTTAACTAGATCAAAATAAAAAGCACAAAGTCTTAAAGCTGTTAAATACTTGGTTTTGGGGGAATCAAAGGCAATAAAATTTATTTCTAAGTATACATATTTTAAAATTTCTAACTCCACATCAATAATTAATTTATTTTATTTAGATTAAATTTAAATTTAAATTTCTGATCCATTATCAATCAATAGAGGAATAATGATTTCCCTTCAATCTTTTGGTTTAGGATGCTGCCTTTTAGAAAAGTTCACTCTTTTGTTGCATTCATAAAGTTACTTAATTTTAGGAACTTCACAAAATTCCTATTTTAAAAATGAGAAAACTTGGGTACGAAAAAACCTTCAGGTGGTGCTCAAGGTTACACATGGATAAATGGCAGAACTGTTTCAGGGATATTTCCAGGCATTTGAAAGGGATTTGGCCTTGGAAGGCTGACAGCTGAGCAAGACAAGAGAGCAGACAAGCTTCAGCATAGTTCAATATTCAGAGATTAAGTGACAATATGTAATCATACCTGGCTGAATGCCCTTTATAATTTTTAATGATTTTATTTCTCAAGGACACATTTTCTTGAGATTGTTCCTATTTTCAAATTAAAGAACAAAGAGAAAGAAGGAACAAGATATTTGTTCATTTTAATCATGCTACTTAGTGTAATTAATAATTTATGCAATCAACAAATATTTCCAGAAAATTACTATCATTATGTTTAATAAAACATAGATATTGTGGTAAACGATTGCTGTTAAAATCCTCAACATACTCGAGTTGGTGTTTCACATTTAGCTGTGAAGCTCCCTCCTGGAGGTGAGCCACTGCACAACTGGAGGGGGTGCGTGCAAACCTGAGCCCACCCCGGCCTCTCTGCCGCTGTGTTTAAAGCCGAGGTAATAAGCGCCTTGGCCCCACA